CGCGTTACCGTCACAATATATATGTGTCACTTTTCTTGTGACACATCTAGGTTATATATATATATATATATATATATATATATATATATATATATATATATATATATATATATATATATATATATATATATAAAGAGAGAGAGAGATCACAAACAATAAACATATTAGTGATAAACATGTACATTTCTTCCTTTACACATGTAGTATGTTCCCAGACGTACACACAAATACTTTTATGACTAGGTATATAGACAATTTGCAATGGGCAGTCAGACAATTTAACAAACGGTTACAATCTTGGTGCAAAATTCTTATATCTCTCAAGAATATCATCAACCTTTCCGTTGTGACACATCCAGGCTATTTGTTCAGGAACAGTCCTTATCTCAGTGTTTCTATATACATTAATCAACGGACAATCAAGAACATAATGGGCAAGGGTGTGAGACCTTAACATACCACATAGTTTACACTTCGTGTCATTATCATGAACATCTATCCCATATTCCCAGTAATATTTGTACCCAAGCCTGAGCCGCATGTACACAGTCACTCCAAGCATTTCTCCTTTTACCATAAGTGAAATGGGTGTTTTGACTCACATACATGTAGTGTTGCATGGTTTGACTACTCTCATACATTATCTCTCTCCTCTCCACTCCTGCCTGTGCCTGAATATTTCTGATTTTGCTTCTTATTTTTCTCATTGTGAAAACACATTCTGTTGGAAATTTCCAACAATTATTCTCATCCCTAATACATCTTCCTTATTTTCCCCTTTTATTAAGGATAATCATTTATTAATAGATTCACTTTTCGTTAGTAAATCTATCATGTTACTGGAATTCATTTATACAGCCACGATTAGCTGTACCAGTGAAGAGTTTGATAAACCGTATCTGCACTCCAGATTCTTTCTCATCCATTTAATATCGTCTAAATTAATTGACTGCATTACGAGAAAATAACTGTTGCCGCGAACACCTTTATTTATGCCGTAAATATTCGTCATACCCCATTTCTTCCATATAATTTATGCTCGGAGCCCCTACTAAGAGCTATGCGCATGCGCCACCTTCGAGCAGGAAGGAGAGAGAGACACGAGACAACCGCCATTGCACAGGTGTTTTGAAATTTGCTTATCGACATCGGTGTTAATCTTGGAGCATCTGGCCATCTACAGACTCCAGACTGATCCTGCAACTTCAATTTTACGGACACCACGTTCGACAGGGAAGAGAAGTATCTTTTAATGCTTTTAGAGGCCTTTAAAATTTAAATAGGTTACCTCCCTGTTCGTTACAATGTTTGGCGACACATCATCCTCCGTAAGTGTACCAGCTGCTGGTCCCCAAATCCCTTTTGAATTTATAATTAAATGAATGATTCTAGGGTTTGGAGTGGAATTTAAATAATATTTGTATTGCAGCTGGAGTACCAGCGTATGCGAGACCGCAGCGTCCACCACCACCACGGGTTTCCTCCAGTAGCCTGTGCAGCAAGTTTACTGCTACGAGTATACTATTTGCGGGATGCTCGCTGTGAAGTCTGCTTTACAGCTAAGCAATCTTTCACGTTTCTAGTAGAACGTTGCATTTTACTAACTATTATATAATTCATAACCTATGTGTATGCATATTATTATTATTATCATGTATACTATTTATTACTAGATGTATCCGGCCACTCGTTGCTGAGCCACAGCAACCTTCTCCCAGTCTCCCAGTCCCCCCCCACCATCCCTCCATCCCATCGTCCTCCCCACCATTCCCCCTTCACCCGTCCCTTTGTCCTCCCCACCATCCCCCACTCCACTGTCCCCTCATCCACCCCACCATGCCCCCTCCCCCATCCCCTCGTCCTCCCCACCATGCCCCCTCCCCCATCCCCTCGTCCTCCCCACCATGCCCCCTCCCCCATCCCCTCGTCCTCCTCACTCCCTTATCCGATGCCTTCCCAAATGATCTAATGTTCCTATTAGAAATTTGGGACATCAAATGATCTGATGTTTCCATCACTGAAATATAAGAAAAACAGTTAAAAAAGAAATGAAAAAAATGAAAAAAATAAAAAATAAATGGTATGGCAAACAACACAGCTCAATTCCATTGCAGTGTCACACAAAATAAATAAATGAAAATGAAAATAAATCGAGCTCTATGAAAATTCCATTTATCAATGTAATCGGAAGCATTGAAATGGAATCGTAACATATTTAGTATAGCGTGTGTTGCTATTATGTGCCACATGACGCTGTTTTTCCGAAAAAAAACATGTTTTTACCTTTAACTGGTGTGGCATTTATATAGTAGGTATATAAAAACACACGTATTTGAATGGAACGTTGTGTCAAAATTTCAAAGCAAACAGTGAAAAACTTTTGGAGATTACAGCGTGTGTTGCTCTTACATCCAACAGGTGGCGACGTTTAAAAAAAAAAATAAACATGTTTTTTCCTGTTATAGGTGAGGCATGTAAATAGTAGGTATATAAAAACACACGTATTCGAATGCAACGGTGTGTCAAAATTTCAAACCAATCGGTAAAGAGGTTTCGAAGATTTTCCTCAAATGAAAACCCACAGTTTAAAAGAAAAAAAAATCCCGTCACAGAAGTGACGTCTATACAGTAAGCGTAGGAAAACCCGCTCGGATGCGAGTGGAACGTTGTGTGAAAATTTCAAGGCAATCGGTGAAGAACTTTCGGAGATTAGCGATTTTGAACAAACGAACATTTCCATTTTTATTTATATAGATATATATTATATGCATTAGGTAGACTAACCTCATAGATGACCCCCTCAAAATGTGTCATGCGAAGCGGTTCTAGAATGTATAGAATTTTACGGTTCATTCCATTAGAATAATAGAATTTCTTGCATTTAATCATAGTGATCCGTAAGTCACTGGTTCTCTCATTTAACATCGCATTCTGGTCCTTGGAGCTTTCTTAGAATTAATTATTATTTTGCATTCCTAGAATAATACATTTGTTAGTATTAAACTAGAACCATATTTCCCCACACATTCAATGTCATCTTGTGGTTTTGATGTGGCACGTTTGGGCAAGTCATCCACTAACTCGTTGCAGAAATGGAATCCACATGAATTTCACTTTGTGACCTTTCAGCTGTATATCATTTATCCTTTTCTTACAATCCTAAACTATTGACATGAAGACTGGATTTTGAATGTTTAAGGACTCCAGTGCTCCTCGGCTATTGACAAATACAAAAACATCTTTGTCATCTTGACGTACTTCCTCCAAACACGCCAGAATGGCCTGCAGTTCAGCTTGTGTGAATGATATATAATTACTAAGCCGGAGTTAAATTTTCCTGTCCACAGTCCCAAACTCCGTATATTCCCTTATTAGGACACCACACCCTGCCCTGCCATCCTCCGCCACCGACCCGTCACAATATACATGTAAACTGTTGCCTCTTGGTAACCGAGATATCATGCTTCCATACAAACACCGTAATTGTCCCGGTTCATGATGAATCTTTTTCACCTTGAGGGGTACAATTTCGACTTCTATTTTCTGTACTTTCCAGGGAGCAGACATATTACACTGTCGAGAGGGTTTACAGCAGTCAAGTACATCGTATTCCCTGAGGTCATGAGCTAATCCCCTTGTGTAGCGTGTCTCTCTCAGTTTCCTGGAAGTGTGTACGTCACTCAAGCAGGTCTGAACGCTCTCAAACAGCTTATCCCTTCCTTTTCTCCGCATGAAACGACTAGATACTCTAGTGTTAATGTCACGGACTCTATCATACACAAGTTTAATTCCATTCCCATTATTTCAATCATTGCATTTCTTTGACATCCAAGAATAATCCTCATAGCCTCGTTCTGTATCAGCTCTATTGTTTGAATTCTGCCTTGGCCTGTGTAAGACAATACGGGTGCTGCGTAGTCTATCAGGGACCGAACAGTACTTATGTATAACATCCGCAAGATAGGTACCCCAACACCTTTACCAGAAAAAGCCAGTGCTTTTAGAGGATGCAGACGGGCTTTACATAAGGTGCTGATATGATTTATTTCAGCATTTTTACTCTCACATGTGTATCCAACATACATGCCCAGATACTTGTACTTCTGAACACGGCTCAGTTCCACACCATTTAGAGTAAGTGTTATATTTCTTCGTTTCCTATACTCGTATTTGGTTTTATCTGCATTTATAACTAAGCCTAACTTGTGACAGGTTGTACCAAGTATGTTAAGAGCAGTTTGAATTTTGTTCCCAGAAGTGCCTTGTATAAGAATGTCATCAGCATATATGATCGTCGTGACCCCTGGAGAATACATCTCTGATGCTAATCTGTTCATTAATACATTGAATAAGGTGGGACTTAATACTCCCCCTTGTGGGGTACCTAACTGAAACCTCCGTTCCTCAGACATGTAACCCTGGTAATACACCTGACCTTTTCTGCCTTGTAGATAATCCCTTATCCAATGTAGCAATCTCCCTGTTATTCCCAGATTGGCTAATTCGTATAAGATTACTTCCCCATTGGCTTTATCAAATGCTCCTTGTAGATCAACAAAAACTCTACAATTGTAGAGTTGAAAATGGGGGGTTGTTCCTGACTGTCAGGGACAGGTAGCCTGCGGGGCTGAGCGAGGGCTCGAAAGATGGCACGCACAACAGTTACTGCAAGGTGAACAGAAGTACAGGTGATCTTTCCAAGTGGTCAGAGTGTACTCAGGTGTCAGGGAATCCACCAATAGGGAGCCGGTCGGCCGAGCGGACAGCACGCTGGACTTGTGATCCTGTGGTCCCGGGTTCGATCCCGGGCGCCGCCGAGAAACAATGGGCAGAGTTTCTTTCACCCTATGCCCCTGTTACCTAGCAGTAAATAGGTACCTAGGTGTTAGTCAGCTGTCACGGGCTGCTTCCTGGGGGTAGAGGCCTGGTCGAGGACCGGGCTGCGGGGACACTAAAGCCCAGAGATAACCTGAAGATAACCTGAAGATAACCCCACCCACCTCCAAGTGCCGCTTGATCAAGGCCACAAACTCAAAGTCGTGGTCGTCCTCGCCGAAGGGGTTGATGAGGGACTCGGCCACCTTGAGCCAGCCGATGTAGAAGAAGAACTGAAGGAGGGAGAAGATGGGCACGTAGAGGTCGATGATGTTGTTGGGGTAGTTCTTGTTGGGGTCCAGGAACTGTTCTCCCAACACGGAGAACAGGAAGAACGAGTACACGGCGATTGTTACTACCTGTAGGGAGAGAGAGTGTGAGTGTGTGTGAGAGAGAGAGAGAGAGAGAGAGAGAGAGAGAGAGAGAGAGAGAGAGAGAGAGAGAGAGAGAGAGAGAGAGAGAGAGAGAGAGAGAGAGAGAGAGAGAGAGAGAGAGAGAGAGAGAGTGAGAGAGTCATATCTGATGACATTATTATAAGCAATCATTCTAACCAATGTCCTTCTTATTCAGATCAATGTCATCATCTTTACTTCTTTCGCCAAGCAACGAAACACCACCACCACCACTACAACACCACCATCACCACCACCACCACCACAACACCACCATCACCACCACCACCACCACAACACCACCATCACCACCACCACCACCACAACACCACCACATCACCACCACCACCACAACACCACCATCACCACCACCACAACACCACCATCACCACCACCACAACACCACCATCACCACCACCACAACACCACCATCACCACCACCACCACAACACCACCATCACCACCACCACAACACCACCATCACCACCACCACAACACCACCACCACCACCACCACCACAACACCACCATCACCACCACCACAACACCACCATCACCACCACCACACAGAGAAATAGTACAAGACATGATGGACTATGTCACTCAAAAGTGTCAGGAGGCGGTAAACAGGTTTATCTCAGCCAGACAGGAAAAATCCGAGAAGCAACAGAAGAATCCGTGGCTTAATAGGGCATGTATGACAGCAAAGGAACTGAACAAAAGGGCATGGAGGAACTTCCGAAATAACAGAACACCAGAAAGCAGAGAGAGAGATACCAAAGAACCAGGAACGAGTATGTTAGTGTGAGAAGAGAAGGAGGAAAAAAGTCTGAAAATTATTTGCAAATAAAGCCAAGACCGAACCAAAGCTACTACACAGTCACATCAGGAGGAAAACAACAGTGAAGGAACAGGTGATGAAACTAAGAACGGGTGAGGACAGGTATACAGAGAATGACAAAGAGGTTTGTGAAGAACTATACAAGAGGTTCCAGGAGATCTTCACAATAGAACAAGGAGAGGTCCCTGCACTAGGAGAGGTGGCAGTGAACCAGGCGGCCTTGGAAGGGTTCGAAATTACAAGAGATGAGGTCAAGAAGCACCTGTTGGATCTGGACATAAGAAAGGCTGTTGGTCCGGATGGAATCTCACCATGGGTATTGAAAGAGTGTGCAGAAGCACTTTGCTTGCCACTCTCCATAGTGCATAGTAGGTCACTGGAGATGGGAGACCTACCAGAAATATGGAAGACTGCTAATGTAGTACCAATATACTAAAAGGGTGACAGACAAGAGGCACTGAGCTACAGGCCAGTGTCCTTAACTTGTATACCATGCAAGGTGATGGAGAAGATTGTGAGAAAAAACCTAGTAACACATCTGGAGAGAAGAGACTTCGTGACAACCCATCAACATGGGTTCAGGGAGGGTAAATCTTGCCTTACAGGCTTAATATAATTCTACGATCAGGTGACAAAGATTAAGCAAGAAAGAGAAGGCTGGGCGGACTGCATTTTCTTGGACGGTCGGAAAGCCTTTGACACAGTACCGCATTAGAGGCTGTTACATAAGCTGGAGAAACAGGCAGGAGTAACTGGTAGGGTGCTCCAGTGGATAAGGGAGCTCCTAAGCAATAGGAAGCAGGGATTCAAAGTGAGAGGTAAGAACTCAGATTGGCGTGAAGTCAGAGTGGAGTCCCACAGGGCTCTGTACTTGGACCCAACATGTTTCTGATATACGTAAATGATCTCCCAGAGGGTATAGACTCATTCCTCTCAATGTTTGCTGACGATGCCAAAATTATGAGAAGAATTAAGAAAGAGGAGGACAGCTTGAGGCTTCAAGAAGACCTCGACATACTGAAGGAATGGTCGAATAAATGGTTGTTAGACTTTAACCCAAGCAAATGTAATGTAATGAAGAGAGGTGTAGGGAGCAGGAGGCCAGATTCAAGGTATCATTTGGGAGATGAAATTCTACAAGAGTCAGAGAGAGAGAGAGAGAGAGAGAGAGAGAGAGAGAGAGAGAGAGAGAGAGAGAGAAAGATCTGGGGGTTGATATCACGCCAGAACTGTCCCCTGAACCCCATATCAAGAGGATAACATCAGCGGCATATGCCAGGTTGGCCAACATAAGAACGGCATTTGGACGCTTGTGTAAGGAATCATTCAGAACCTTGTATACCACATGTATCAGACCAATCCTAAAGTATGCAGCTCCAGCATGGAGTACATATCTAGTAAAGCATAATAGTAAACTGGAAAAGGTTTAAAGGTTTGCCACCAGACTAGTACCCGAACTGATAGGTATGAGCTATGAGGAGAGACTACGGGAATCAAACCTCACGTCGCTGGAAGATAGAAGAGTTTGGGTGAAAATAATCACCACATAAATGATTCTCAATGGAATTGATAGGGTAGATAAAAACAAACTATTTAACACAAGGGGCACACATACTAAGGGACACAGGTGAAGGCAGTGATGTGGTGGAGGCTGACTCCATACACAGTTTCAAATGTAGATATGATAGAGCCCAGTAGGCTCAGGAACCTATACACCAGTTGATTGACATTTGAGAGGCGGGACCAAAGAGCCAGAGCTCAACTGCCCCGCAAGCACAACTAGGTGAGTACACACCACACACAGTACACACCACACCACCACAACACAACCTTACCAAAACCTAAACAGGAGCTGCAGTTAAGGCAAGAACCTATAAATAGTTGGAGACTCTCAAACGGGTGTTCAACTTTATAGAGATGCTAGCCATTCAAAAGGCTTTGGAACATGCTCTTCCTGAACACCGACAACATGTTATCATACATACAGATTCGAAAACTGCCATTGAAACCTTGCAACAAGAACACATATATGACAACATATATCTGATAACAAATGTCATATCAATAATGCAAACACTCAAACGTCAAGGCCGTTGAGTACTTATCAATGGGGTGCCAAGTCATGTGGGAATAATAGGAAATGACATTGCAGACAAATCTGCAAAACGTGCAACTAAGAGAAGAAATGTAAACATTTATACACCAAAGAGTCTATCACAAATTAAGAAAGTAATTAGAAACAGAGAAATGCAAAAGATGTACAGTGACCACAACACAGCAGTTGCAACATCAGGATCTGTGAGTTGGTACAAGAATTCAACCAACTACGAACCACTTAGTTTGATGAAAGGGAGCAGTAAACAAAAGAAGTACACTTACATCGTATCAGGTTTGGATACCTATGTGCATGGTAAATAGGCTTACAGGTTCTGGAAGATGAAAGGAAATGTCAACACTGTGGAAAAATGCCCGACAGACCTCTGGAACATTATCTAACACAGTGCACAGTTACAAACCCATTAAGTTTTCAACTTAGATTCAACAGAGCAGAAGAAGTTGTTAAATACATGGGACAAAATCTTACTGAAGCGACCATACGAGTCATAAATACTCATACTCCGCCCAAGTAAAACAGAAACAAGCAACACCTAGTGGGCCAGCCAGAGGCTTAAGGCCCATGCAGGACTATCCCTTAAAAAAAAAAAAAACCACAATAGCCCAACCTGGGTATAGACGAGCGGGATATTATAGGTATCCCAGCCCAACAGCTCGCCACAGAAGCCGCGGATCTTGATCAACTCATCTGTGATGGTCTTCTGGGCGATGTCGTCCCTGATCTTGCCCTCCCGCCTTGCCCGGTCCACCAGCTTGCTGGCCCACATGAAGGTGACGTAGGTCTTGTGCTCCTTCGTCTTGCGCTCCAGCGACTCCAGGATAGCCTTCTCGTTATCTGTCATGTATCCTGTCAAGGGGAAATGGTTGGTTATCCTGGGAAGGGGAAAATAGCTCGTTAGTTTGGTCTAGTGGGTGAATGCTGGCTATTTTATTGAACTGCGCATGGTTACGTGGTGTGATGCGCAGTGTAAGGGTTAAACATGGAAGTGTGTGTGTGTGTGTACTTACCGAGTTGAGCTCTGGCTCTTTGGTCCCGCCTCTCAACGGTCAATCAACTAATGTACAGGTTCCTGAGCCTACTGGGCTCTATCATATCTACACTTAAAGCTGTGTATGGAGTCAGCCTCCACCACATGACTTCCTAATGCATTCCATTTGTCTACTACTCTGACACTGAAAAAATTCTTTCTAACATCTCTATGGCTCATTTGGGCACTCAGTTTCCACCTGTGTCCCGTAGTACACAGTGTTTGTACTCACCTAGTTGCTGTGCTCACCTAGTAGTACTTGCGGGGGTTGAGCACTGGCTCTTTGGTCCCGCCTCTCAACCTTCAATCAACAGATTCCTGAGCCTACTGGGCTCTATCATATCTATATATGAAACTGTGTATGGAGTCAGCCTCCACCACATCACTGCCTAATGCATTCCATCTGTTAACTACTCTGACACTGAAAAAGTTCTTTCTAACGTCCCTGTGGCTCATTTGGGTACTCAGTCTCCACCTGTGTCCTCTTGTTCGCGTACCACCCGTGTTAAAAAGTTTATCTTTATCTACTCTGTTAATTTCCCCTGAGAATTTTGTAGGTAGTGATCATGTCTCCCCGTCCTCTTCTGTCTTCCAGTGTCGTGAGGTGCATTTCCCGCAGCCTTTCCTCGTAACTCATGCCTCTGAGTTCTGGGACTAGTCTAGTGGCATACCTCTGAACTTTTTTCAGTTTCATCTTGTGCTTGACAAGGTACGGGCTCCATGCTGGTGCCGCATACTCCAGGATTGGTCTTGCATATGTGGAATACAAGGTTCTGAAAGATTCCTTGCACAGGTTTCTGAAGGCAGTTCTGATGTTTGCCAGTCTTGCACACGCCCCTGATGTTATTCTTTTGATGTGGGCTTCAGGAGACAGGTTTAGCGTGATATCAACTCCTAGATCTTTCTCTCTGTCCGTTTCACGAAGTACTTCATCTCCTATTCGGAATCCTGTGTCTGGCCTCCTGTTTCCACTGCTTAGTTTTATTACCTTACATATACTCGGGTTGAACTTTAGTAGCCATTTGTTAGACCATTCCTTCAATCTGTCTAGATCATCTTCAAGCCTCATACTATCTTCTTCTGTCTTAATCTTCCTCATAATTTTTGCATCATCAGCAAACAATGAGAAGAACGATTCTATACCCACTGGTAGATCATTTACATATATCAGAAACAGTATAGGTCCATGGACTGACCCCTGCGGGACTCCACTCGTAACGTCTCGCCAATCTGAGACCTCACCCCTCACAGTGACCCGTTGTCTCCTGTTACTTAGGTACTCCCTTTTCCAATGGAGTACCTTCCCTTTCACTCCTGCCTGCATCTCCAACTTGTGCACTAGTCTCTTGTCTGGTAATGTGTCAGAGGCTTTCTGGCAATCCAAAAATATGTAGTCTGCCCACCCCTCTCTTTCTTGCCTGATTTTTGTTGCCTGGTCGTAGAGTTCAATTAATCCTGTGAGGCAGGACTTGCCATCCCTGAACCCATGTTTTTGTTGTGTCACAAAATTCATTTGTTCCAGATGTTTCCCTAACTTTTTACACACAATTTTCTCCATCAAATGAACAAATCCACAAGGGCCGTGACGAGGATTCGAACCTGCGTCCGGGAGCATCCCAGACACTGCCTTAATCGACTGAGCTACGACAGGGTTAAAAGGATTGACATAGATTGGATTGACTGAGCTACGACAGGATTGACATAGCTCGGGTGCAGGGGGGGGGGGGTTGTGTAAAAGCCTGGTTTGTGCCTCGGAGAGGCTACGGGATCCAGTAAGTTCAGTAGAACTTCGGTTTCAACTCTTTTAACCCTGTCGTAGCTCAGTTGATTAAGGCAGTGTCTGGGATGCTCCCGGACGCAGGTTCGAATCCTCGTCACGGCCCTTGTGGATTTGTTCATTTGATGCATCACGTTAGTGTGATCTCTGTGTGTTCTCCATCAACTTGCATAGTATACAAGTTAAGGACACAGGACTGAAGTTCAGTGCCTCCGGTCTATCCCCCTTCTTGTATATCGGGACTACATTAGCCGTCTTCCAAATTTTTAGCAGTTCACTTGTTACCAGAGATATGTTATACACTATGGAGAGTGGCAGGCACAGTGCTTCTGCTCCTTCCTCTAGTATCCATGGTGAGATTCCATCTGGGCCGATAGCCTTTGTCACATCTAAATCCAGCAGATGCTTCTTCACTTCCCCACTGGTAATCATAAACTCCCGTAGTGATGTCTGGTTAGATATTCCCTCTCTTATCTCTGGAACTTGTCCTTGCTCTAATGTGAAGACCTTCTGGAATTTCTTATTGAGTTCCATGCACACTTCCTTATCGTTTGTAGTGAATCTGTCTGCCCCTATCCTCAGTTTCATTACCTGTTGTGAGTGTACTCACCTATTTGTGTCTGCAGGATCGAGCATTGACTCTTGGATCCCGCCTTTCGATCCATCGGTTGTTTACAGCAATGTCTCCAGTCCTTTTTCCCAATTATACCTAGTTTTAAAATTATGAATCGAATTTGCTTCCACAACCTACTCCTACAGTGCATTTCATTTTTCCACTACTCTCACGCTAAAAGAAAACTTCCTAACATCTCTGTGACTCATCTGAGTTTCCAGCTTCCACCCATGTCCCCTCTTTCTGTTACTATTCCGTGTGAACATTTCGTCTATGTTCACTCTGTCAATTCCCCTTAGTATTTTATACGTTCCTATCATATCCCTCCCCTATCCCTTCTCTTTTCTATTGTCGTAAGACGCAGTTTCTTCAGGCTCTCTTCATACCCCATCCCTCATAACGCTGGGATGAGTCTCATTGCAAACTTCTGAACCTTTTCCAGTTTCCTTATGTGTTTCTTCAGATGGGAACTGCATGATGAGGCGGCATACTCTAAGACTGGTCTCACGTAGGCAGTGTAAAGCGCCCTAAATGCCTCCTTACTTAGGTTTCTGAATGATGCTGTCACTTCTGCCAGTGTAGAGTACGCTGCTGTCGTTATCCTATTTGTATGTGCCTCAGGAGATAGATTAGGTGTTACGTCCACCCCCAGGTCTCTTTCTCGCGTCGTCACAGGTAGGCTGTGTTACATATTTCTATTAAGGAATACTCACATCAATGAACAATATAATATTGATCATGTTTTGTTCTTGCATGAAGGTATGTATATTTTTGTAATGTGTCATATATCTTGGCAACACATTTGAACAGGTGTGTGGTGCGGGATCTAATCACAGGTACGGGACGTGTGAGATTCGGGTCAACTTCCTGATAGAATACAAGAAAGCTTGTGTTGTGTAGTTGCTCACAATTTCCTCTTTATTATTCTCAATAAATATATGTGTTAGATATAAAATACATTACCTCTGTTAATGCATGTCAACTTGACCATTCATAATTAAGTTATTCAAATACCTTAACCCAATTATTTTGCTCATTTAAATAAGTTAGTTTTATATAAATTTACAAATTATATAATTTATAAATTTATATAAATTTTTATATAAATTTAAATTAAAATAAATGTTATGAGGGAGCGCGAGCGGCGGCTTCCGACGCCAGTTTGAGTTAGTATTGGTGTCCATTGGTGTCTAGTCCATTGGTGTCTATTAATCTTGTTTAAATTACTAATCAAGCTGTCAATGTAATCAATCAGAGCTTTAATATAACAATGTGCTTTAATATACTTACTTATCTCTCTCATCTCATTTTTCTCTTGTAATGTATCTTTATCATTTATCAATTCTGATTGAAATTACCTACTTAAAATTATCTGCTAGATTAAGGACCTGCCCGAAACGCTGCGCGTACTAGTGGCTTTACAAGAGTGTAAATACTGTACTATCCAATGTATTCTCACAAACCCAATGTACCTTCTTGTATATATATAAATAAATAATTAAATAAATAAATAGTATATGAGAGCCGTTCCTAGAGTCAACTGGTCTGATAAGTTTTGTCTGTTTATTTGATTTTCTGTATTTGTCTTAGTAGTTACAATTATCTGGCGAGAATACTTTATTATATTATAATACCTTAGTTGGCCATCTGATTACTGTTATACCTGAAGGTTAATATTATTTTGATTTATATATATAATTATATTATACACGTATTTTATATACATGTGTTTATTTGTACCTGGTGAAATTATTTAATTACTTTTGTATGGTACGTACTGATGAGGCAAAGTTTCTTTCACCCTGAATGCCCCTGTTACCTAGCAGTAAAATAGGTACCTGGGTGTTAGTCAGCTGTCACGGGCTGCTTCCTGGGGGTGGAGGCTTGCTCGAGGACCGGGCCGCGGGTACACTAAAGCCCCGAAATCATCTCAAGATAACCTCAAGATAACCTCAAGATAACCCTGGTTGAACGCCCTTTTGATACAGGTTTTTCCTCTCCTTTATCCCCTAGATAAACAACCTATTTTATTGACCCTGTAGTTCAACGAGCGGCGTGAACAAGACGTAACAGGCAGTTCCCCTTTATTGTGTACTGTCCCTTTGGTCTCCTATCACCTAGTCCCATTTCCACAACTTTGCATTTGCTCATGTTGAACTCCAGTAGCCATTTCTCTGACCATCTCTACATCCTGTTCAAGTCCTCTTGGAGGATCCTACAATCCTCATCTGTCACAACTCTTCTCATCAACTTTGCGTCATCCGCGAACATCGACACGTAGGACTCTACTCCTGTAAACATGTCGTTAACATGTGTTAGAAATAGATTTGGTCCCAGCACCGATCCTTGAGGTACTCCACTCGTTACTGTTCGCCAGTCCAACTTCTCGCCCCTTCTTAAGGTTATCTTGAGATGATTTTTGGGGCTTAGCGACCCTTGCGGGCCCGGTCCTTGACCAGGCCTCCTTTTTTTACACACCACCCAGGAAGCAGCCCGTAGCAGCTGTCTAACTCCCAGGTACCTATTTACTGCTAGGTAACAGGGGCATCAAAGTGAAAGAAACTCTTTCTCATTTGTTTCCACCTCCACCGGGAATCGAACCTGGAACCTCAGGACTACGAATCCGAAGTACTGTCCACTCAGCTATCAGGCGTGCTTACCGTAACTCTCTGGCTCCTTCCCGTTAGGTAGTTTCTTATCCATGCTAGGACCTTTCCTCCCACCCCTGCCTGCCTCTCGAGTTTGAATAGCAGCCTCATGTGCGGTACTGTATCAAAGGCTTTCTGGCAGTCCAGATATATGCAGCCTACCCAACCTTCTCTGTTCTGTCTTATCCTCGTTATTTTATTATAGAATTCCAAAAGGTCTGTTAGGCAAGATTTCCCTTTCCAGAACCCATGTTGATGTTCGTTTACAAACCTAATGTTCTCCAGGTGTGCAATCAGTCATAGCACAAATATCCTTTCAAGTATTTTTCAGGGGATGCTTCTCAGTGATACAGGTCTATAGTTAAGTGCCTCCTCCCTATCACCTTTCTTGAAGATCGGTACGACATTTGCCTTCTTCCAGCAACTGGGCAATTTTCCCGACATAAGTGATTCATTAAAGATCATTGCCAGAGGCACGCTGAGGGCCTGTGCTGCCTCTTTTAGTATCCACGGTGATACTTTGTCTGGTCCAACCGTCTTAGTTGCATCCAGCGTTGTCAACTGTTTCATTACCTCCTCTGCTGTCACCTCTATATCTGATAATCTTTCATCTAGGGTAATCTCTTCTATCAATGGGAGCTGCACAGGCTTGGTTGTAAACACTCCTTGGAAACTTGCATTCAGTACCTCGCAGATTTCCTTGTCGCTTTCTGTATATGCCCCCTCTGTCTTCTTTAGTCTTGTCACTTGGTCGTTCACCGACATTTTTTCTCTTATATGACTGTGTGTTAACTTAGGTTGCTTTTTCGCTTTGATGGCAATATCGTTCTCATAATTTCTTTCTGATGCTCTTCTTATGTTAATGTCATCATTCCTAGCTCTACTGCATTTGATCTCTGTCGTTTGTCTTCTGTACTTCCTCCACTCCCGCCTGCTGCTCATTTTTGCTTCCTGACACTGTCAATTAAACCATGGGTTATTATATTCCCTCCTGCTTTTTCTCTTTACTGTTGGTATAAATCTCTCTTCGGCCTCCTGGCATTTCTGTATGACCAGGTCCTTCATATCTTGGACTTTTTTTCCTCTAAATTCTTCCTTCCACTGCACTTCTTCCAAATAGCACAGTCTCCGTGGTGTAGTGGTAAGACACTCGCCTGGCGTTCCGCGAGCGCTATGTCATGGGTTCGTATCCTGGCCGGGGAGGATTCACTGGGCGCAATTCCTTAACTGTAGCCTCTGTTTAACTCAACAGTAAAATGTGTACTTGGATGAAAAAACGATTCTTCGCGGCGGGGATCGTATTCCAGGGACCTGCCCGAAACGCTACGCGTACTAGTGGCTGAACAAGAATGTAACAACTCTTGTATATATCTCAAAAAAAAAAAATAGTCCCTTATCTTCCTGTAGTTCCCTTTCCTGTAGTCGACTCTCCTTTCCTAGACCTCTTTTGTCCCTTGGTCGCAAGTTTGAATTCCATCATGTAGTCAAAGACTAGGACACAATGGCTGGCCCCTAAAGGTATTTCATGTTCCAAATTCTCGATGTCTTCTATGTTCTGGGTGAAACTCAGGTCTAATAGGCTCGGTGCATCTCCTCCTCTTTCCCTTGTGTCTTCCTTCACATGTTGTGTTAGGAAATTCCTGTATATAACATCTACTAACCTTGCTCCCCACGTTTCTTCCCCTCTTTGGGGATTCCTTGATTCCCAATTTATCTATCCGTTATTTAGGTCCCCCATGACCAGCAGCTTCGCTCTCATTCTGTGAGCTAATGTTGCTGCCTTCTGCAGTTCATCTATGCATGCCTTGTTGTTGTCATCATACTCCTGCCTGGGCCTTCTACTGTTTGGTGGGGGATTGTAGATTACCAAGATCACAATCTTCCTCCCATCTGCTGTCAGAGTTCCATGTATGGAGATTGTGCTCTCATTGGTTCCCCGATTTCCCAGGTCTTCAAACTTCCATTTCCGCTTTATTGGGAGTGCCACTCCCCCTCCCTGTCTCTGTGTCCTCTCTTTTCTTATCACCTGGTACCCCCTCTGGAAAGATTGCATCTGAGATCATGGCATTTATTTTAGTTTCCACTATTACAACTATGTCTGGATCTGCCTCACTATTTCTTTTATCCCTTATCACTCTGGTACCAAAGTGCACCCTTTCTCTGGGGGGGGGGGCTGGGGGGATCCGGGGGGTGTCTGGGGGGTGACTGGGGTCTGGAGGGGTTCTTGGGGGGCGAATGGGGTCTGGGCATCTAGGAAGGTAGGTAGGAAGGTCTGGGGTAGTAAGGTCTGGGTAGGTAGGTCTGGAGAAGTATGGCATACTGGGTCTGAAAATTAAGGAGGGTCTGAGAGGCACAGGGGATTGAGAGGTAGTGTGAGGATGAGTCAAATAGAGGTTGAGAGGTTGGGGGAGGAGAGGGATAGAGGGGGGGGGTGGGGGGAAGAGGGGAGGATGGAGCATGGATAGTGAGAGAGGGAGAGAGATTGTATTAGTCAGGGGAAACTCAAGGGAAGGTGTGGACATTGGGGCAGAAGGTAGGAAGAGGGAAATGGAGGAAGAGGTGGAGGTGTCCCTATGTCCCCCAGGGGGGGGGGGTCCATGTAACCCACTCGCAAGGGGTGGGGGTCACATGGAAGAAAGGGGGGAGAGGAGGGGTTAGGGCTGGGTGGGTTTTGGGTTGTTGAGGTCATGAGGAGGTCCTTGGACAGTGAGATGAAGCAGATGGATTTGAGTGCATTGGGGTCAGGAGGGGGACAGGGTAGTTGTTGGGGAGATAAGTAGGGGCAGGGGATGAAAAGGCTGGTTTAGGGAGGGTGTGACTTGGGAAGCAGTTGTGGGCTGGTTAGCAAGGGTGGTGTGGGTAATTACTCTCGAATGGGAAGAGTGGTGTCGTGCCGGTCGGCTCGCCCTGTGGGCTATCTGTTCATCTTTTGTCATGTATCTGTCAATATTCACGTTGTAATAGTTTTCGCTACCTCTGAGTAAATGTTTGTGTTGCAGTATGTAATCCACTGCCTCTTCGTTAGTGAACTGTACCAGGACAGGTCGTTTCTTGGTACAGTTGTAAGGACCAATGCGGCAGTGAATTTCCACCTCATTCCCTGCCATCTTGGCTCTAATATCTCTCAAAATCATCAATCTCCATCCTTTCCTGCCTCGATGATTCCTTGACTTGGAGTAATCCATGTAATATGATTGACCTCCTCCTCAATAAAGGACTGTCATGCTGGTCGCCCCTTCCCTGGACACTCCCCATCCCTCCTACACTTGCTACTCCATCCCCCAGTACTCCCCCTTCCCTTGCCATGCTTCCCTTATTCCTGCCAAATTCAGTTGCAAGCCGAGTTATTTCACTTTCCCCTGCAACCCTGTTCTTTCTTATTTCTTCCTGAATATAGTCCATAACCTTTTGTTTTCGTCTCTGAACCTCGTCCTATCCTATAGGGGATAGGATAAGTAAGTAACCCCGTCCGTCCTATACTATCTCGTCCTGTATTTTATTAAAAATCTCACTTTTAATCCCCTGGATTAGATCCTCTATCCAAACTTCCCTCTTCTCTACAAATTTCCCTGTCATCTTCTTCACAAGCCTATCCTCTTCTTCAATCATAATACTGCTGGACCTAGACACCCTTCCTGACCTAGTCATTGCTATAAAACAGCCTTACCCCACAGGCGGTCCAAGTACCTTATCACTCTGCTAAACACAATAGGCGAGTGAGTCTCCAAGCATCTCCCCCACGTGGTGTAGTAAGGGTTGCCGCCGGGGTGAGGTCACGTCGGCCTCAGTTTGAGGCTGTGAGGTCACAGCGTGAGGTCAGCTCCACTCTTCACACTGCCACAATGAATTCAACACTTATTTTCAATTACGCTATTTCTACTGTTTTTCTTCACTTCCTTAGGGTTTGAGTCAAATTCCAAGTTTTTCATTCACTCGTATAAACTTTTTCACTTCGAAGTAGCCTGATTATTCCTCCCACTTCACTAGTAACCCAGGAGCTCCCAACCCACGTCCAACCACGGCCCACATACCCACCACAGCCCGGTTGGTCCGGCACTCCTTGGAGGAATAAATCTAGTTTTCTCTTGAAAATGTCCACGGTTGTTCCGGCAATATGAATTTTTTAAATTCATTGTGTCGGGGGACAGGAAGCCAGAGTGTATTCATACACGTTATGGTTACATCGAGGTCACCCCCACCCACCCCTAAGGGAGGAAATACTGACCCCGCCCAGGATGCAACCACACAGCAAGCTGACTAACTCCTGAGTACCTACTTACTGCTAGGTGAACAGTGGCTAGGGTGAACACAAGTGAACAGAGAAGTGGTCATTTCATGTATAGGGAAAGCTACCATGAGGAGACCCTAGGGGGGCCTCGTAGCCTGGTGGATAGCGCGCAGGACTCGTAATTCTGTGGCGCGGGTTCGATTCCCGCACGAGGCAGAAACAAATGGGCAAAGTTTCTTTCACCCTGAATGCCCCTGTTACCTAGCAGTAAATAGGTACCTGGGAGTTACTCAGCTGTCACGGGCTGCTTCCTGGGGGTGGAGGCCTGGTCGAAGACCGGGCCGCCCTGTTACCTAGCAGTAAATAGGTACCTGGGAGTTACTCAGCTGTCACGGGCTGCTTCCTGGGGGTGGAGGCCTGGTCGAAGACCGGGCCGCGGGGACACTAAAAAGCCCCGAAATCATCTCAAGATAACCTCTCAAGATAAGGCCTACCATAACCTAGGCCTACCATGAGCCAGGGAGGACCTACCCGCGTCAACAAGCTGCTGGTAGCCGGGGAAGTTCTTCTTGACCCCCGGGGCTATCAGGGCGAAGGTCATGAGGATGGCCAGGTTCACGTACCGGACCACTGTACACCGCATCATCCTGGCCCGCGGGTCCTGTGGCAGGACACACCGTCACTGGGGTCTGTTATAAGAGTCTTACAGGGGTCGTGTGGGGTGTATTGGGGTCTTACAGGGGTCGTGTGGGGTGTATTGCGGTCGTGTGGGGTGTATTGTGGTCGTGTGGGGTGTATTGCGGTCGTGTGGGGTGTATTGCGGTCTTACAGGGGTCGTGTGGGGTGTATTGCGGTCGTGTGGGGTGTATTGTGGTCGTGTGGGGTGTATTGCGGTCGTGTGGGGTGTATTGCGGTCTTACAGGGGTCGTGTGGGGTGTATTGCGGTCGTGTGGGGTGTATTGGGGGTCTTACAGGGGCCGTGTAGGGTGCATTGGGGTCGTGTGGGCTGTATTGTGGTTCTAAAGGGCTCGTGTGGGATGTGTTGTGGTCTTACAGGGGTCGTGTGGGATGTGGTGTGGTCTTACAGGGGTCGTGTGGGGTGTATTGGGGTCTTACAGGGGTCGTGTGGGGTGTATTGGGGTCTTACAGGGGTAGTGTGGGATGTGTTGTGGTCTTACAGGGGTCGTGTGGAGTGTATTGAGGTCTTACAGGGGTCGTGTGGGGTGTGTTGTGGTCTTACAGGGGTCGTGTGGGGTGTTTTGCGGTCTTACAGGGGTCGTGTGGGGTGTATTATGGTTCTATAGGGGTCGTGTGGAGTGTATTGAGGTCTTACAGGGGTCGTGTGTGGTGTATTGGGGTCTTACAGGGGTCGTGTGGGGTGTGTTGTGGTCTTACAGGGGTCGTGTGGGGTGTATTATGGTTCTATAGGGGTCGTGTGGAGTGTATTGAGGTCTTACAGGGGTCGTGTGTGGTGTATTGGGGTCTTACAGGGGGTCGTGTGAGGTGTATTGTGGTCTTACAGGGGTCGTGTGGGGTGTTTTGGGGTCTTACAGGGGTCGTGTGGGGTGTGTTGTGGTCTTACAGGGGTCGTGTGGGGTGTATTGTGGTCTTACAGGGGTCGTGTGGAGTGTATTGAGGTCTTACAGGGGTCGTGTGGGGTGTGTTGTGGTCTTACAGGGGTAGTGTGGGGTGTTTTGGGGTCTTACAGGGGTCGTGTGGGGTGTGTTGTGGTCTTACAGGGGTCGTGTAGGGTGTGTTGTGGTCGTACAGGGGTCGTGTGTGGTGTTTTGTGGTCTTACAGGGGTCGTGTGGGGTGTTTTGTGGTCTTACAGGGGTCGTGTGTGGTGTATTGTGGTCTTACAGGGGTCGTGTGGGGTGTGTTGTGGTCTTACAGGGGTAGTGTGGGGTGTTTTGGGGTCTTACAGGGGTCGTGTGGGGTGTGTTGTGGTCTTACAGGGGTCGTGTGGGGTGTGTTGTGGTCTTACAGGGGTCGTGTGTGGTGTGTTGTGGTCTTACAGGGGTCGTGTGTGGTGTGTTGTGGTCTTACAGGGGTCGTGTGTGGTGTGTTGTGGTCTTACAGGGGTAGTGTGGGGTGTTTTGGGGTCTTACAGGGGTCGTGTGGGGTGTATTGGGGTCTTACAGGGGTCGTGTGGGGTGTTTTGCGGTCTTACAGGGGTCGTGTGTGGTGTATTGTGGTCTTACAGGGGTCGTGTGGGGTGTGTTGTGGTCTTACAGGGGTCGTGTGGGGTGTGTTGTGGTCTTACAGGGGTCGTGTGGGGTGTGTTGTGGTCTTACAGGGGTCGTGTGGGGTGTGTTGTGGTCTTACAGGGGTCGTGTGGGGTGTATTATCACCACGTATGATCCTGTGTACTATACATCACTATATGGCACTATATATGTCATGGGTGGGCCCGAACGGGTATACCCAGATACCTCCCACTTACCGTGCCCTGGATGTGGGTAGCGAGGTATATACAGAGGGTATCAGGCCAGGGTATACTGTTGTACATGCCCCACCACCTCGACACTATCAGGGAGACGTAGAAGCCCAGCACGAAGGAGATGGGTATGAGGTTCCGGAAGTGCCCGCAGTGTATCGACACCTTCTCGAATATCCTGGGGAATAGGTCGACATATAGTGAACAGTTTGACATATGTAGTTATCAAATAGACGTGTGTGGTAAATAGATCAATAGAAGGTGAAATAGAGAAGTAATAGATCTATATTCTCTGAACATACGTCAAAATTTTCATCTCAATGGGTTTTTATCGAATTATTTCCGTTTTCTCTTCATCAACTTCAGCCCAGACTGCACTATTTACTTAACTGCAATTCAGGAATTAATTTAATTGTTTGAATACATTGGCGGGTCACTCACAGTCTGTCATTTTCGTTGAGGCCGAACCTGTAGAGGAAGGATATGGCGTAGAAGAGGAGGATGTAGATCAACATGTCCTGCCACACCATCTTGTAGACGCTCCCCCTCCATCTGTGGGGGAGGCAGGGGGGAGGTTATATTGGGGTGGGTGTTTGGTCTGGGAGGAGGCTGTGTAGTGGTGGGGGATATGTGGTGATGTTGGTGGCTATGTGCTCAAGATATGTGGTGATATTGGTGGTTATGTGGTCAAGATATGTGGGGATCTTGGTGGTCATGTGGTCAAGATATGTGGTGATATTGGTGGTTATGTGGTCAAGATATGTGGTGATGTTGGTGGCTATGTGGTCAAGATATGTGGTGATGTTGGTGGCTATGTGGTTAAGATATGTGGTGATGTTGGTGGCTATGTGGTCAAGATATGTGGTGATATTGGTGGTTATGTGGTCAAGATATGTGGTGATGTTGGTGGTTATGTGGTCAAGATATGTGGTGATATTGGTGGTCATGTGGTCAAGATATGTGGGGATCTTGGTGGTCATGTGGTCAAGATATGTGGCGATGGTCGTTATGTGGTCAAGATATGTGGTGATATTGGTGGTTATGTGGTCAAGATATGTGGTGATGTTGGTGGCTATGTGGTCAAGATATGTGGTGAAGTTGGTGGCTATGTGGTCAAGATATGTGGGGATCTTGGTGGTCATGTGGTCAAGATATGTGGTGATATTGGTGGTCATGTGGTCAAGATATGTGGTGGTTATGTGGTCAAGATATGTGGTGATGTTGGTGGTCATGTGGTCAAGATATGTGGTGATATTGGTGGTCATGTGGTCAAGATATGTGGGGATCTTGGTGGTTATGTGGTCAAGATATGTGGTGATGTTGGTGGCTATGTGGTTAAGATATGTTGTGATGTTGGTGGCTATGTGGTCAAGATATGTGGTGATGTTGGTGGTTATGTGGTCAAGATATGTGGTGATGTTGGTGGCTATGTGGTCAAGATATGTGGTGATATTGGTGGCTATGTGGTCAAGATATGTGGTGATGTTGGTGGCTATGTGGTCAAGATATGTGGTGATATTGGTGGTTATGTGGTCAAGATATGTGGGGATCTTGGTGGTTATGTGGTCAAGATATGTGGTGATGTTGGTGGTTATGTGGTCAAGATATGTGGTGATATTGGTGGTTATGTGGTCAAGATATGTGGTGATGTTGGTGGTTATGTGGTCAAGATATGTGGGGATCTTGGTGGTTATGTGGTCAAGATATGTGGGAATCGTGGTGGTTATGGTAGTGAATATGTGGTGAATATGTGGTGACAGATAATAATATGTACATGTATTAACATTACACTAATTTATCAAAAAAATTATTTTAATTTCCTATTAAGTATTTTGTAATCATAAAATATAACGTATTATTAAAAATATTAAACACATGTTTCTTTTATATATTCCTAAATAGCATAAAAATTTAGTATAATAATTTAATTAACTAAAACATTTTACTGGGTTATTGTTAAAGTTAACGATACAGCATAAAGAAATATACACACTAAAAGATGTATACACAATTTTCCGTGTATATTCACCGATTTTAATCTCGTCTTCGAATATGTCCAGGACTATAAGTATTCTTGCTGCTTGGTCATTAGGCAGTTATGGAGAGCTTAATGACCCTCCAGAGGTTGTTAGGCCTTTAGTCAAACCAAACATTAAGATGGTGTATTAGCTACACATACACTAGTGTCAGGGTTAGTCATGCACAAACCTTGAGGAAGCTTTTTATCATGTTTTATAAATATGCATAGTGTTGGTAGCCGCTGATTGGTTAAGAGGCATATGTGGCAGTCGCTGATTGGTAGAGAAGCATATGGCGAATGCTGATTGGTTAACAAGGATATGACAACTGCTAGTTGATTGGTTGGAAAGCATACTGCTGAATGATTCATTTAAGACGCATACGACAACTCTGATTAGTTTGGGGGGTCATGGCAACCGCTGATTGGCTAAGAAACACGGCGACCGCTGATTGGTTAATCAGCAGTCATAACCATTGGGCTGGTATCTACTTATAAAACCAACTACTTTAATGGGTAAGGATTTGATAAATATGTCTGGCAGCTAATCAGGCAATTATTTGAAAATCTTATGTTATGGCCGCTTATTGGTCAAGAGAATATCCATTATCCAACCAGCGGCCACCATAAGTCATTAACAAGGCTGCATAATGGTTTCCTATTGAACTAGCTGAACCTCAACCATTAACAAGGGATAATTCAAAAATAGTTTATACTGGTATTTGGTCATTTAAAGGCAATTGAGACTATGAGAGCGACATGGTGGGCGCTGATTGGATGATACATATCCATTCAACCAATCAGCAAGTGTATCGCTCGGAATAATATAGAATACATCTTCAGAGAACCAAAATCAAAACATATTAATGGATTAAATAAGTTATGGATAAAATAGTTAACATTTTCTAAAATATAATAAAATGAAGAGTAGGAGAGAGAGAGAAGCCTCATCGTCCTCTGTTGTTGACAAATATTATATAATTTGGCGCGAAAAATAATAATATATAATTTGGCGGGAAAAACAAGCGGGGAATTTTTAAGGCAAAGAAGACAAAGAAACAAATTACTTGTTATCAGCGGCGGAATATGGGTACAGTTTGTGACATATATTAATTATTTAATAATAATATTATTAATGCGCACAGTAGGCGAGCTATATAGGCACAGTTGGTGATATAGTGGCAAACAGATGCCTTGTTATATGTACACACACACACACGATATCTTGACATCTTGAGGTTATCTTGAGATGATTTCGGGGCTTTAGTGTCCCCGCGGCCCGGTCCTCGACCAGGCCTCCACCCCCAGGAAGCAGCCCGTGACAGCTGACTAACTCCCAGGTACCTATTTACCGCTAGGTAACAGGGGCATTCAGGGTGAAAGAAACCTTGCCCATTTGTTTCTGCCTCGTGCGGGAATCGAACCCGCGCCACAGAATTACGAGTCCTGCGCGCTATCCACCAGGCTACGAGGCCCCTAGGCCCCGAGGACATATACGACATATACGACCACACTCAGACCATATACAGGTACACATATGCAATATACGAGGGGGAGAAAGCAATATATATGGATATTCATATACTATATATGAACCCGCAGAGGCGAACAGTTATCTGGCTGTCACAGAGAATGACACATGGATACACACGGTTGAGAGGCGGGACCAAGGAGCCAGAGCTCAACCCCCGCAAGCACAATTAGGTGAGTACACATTGGAGTCCTAAAGTCCGAGGATCGATCCCGGCGATGGTGGAAACAAGTGAGCAGAGCTTCTTTCACTCTGATACCCCTGTTCACCTAGCAGTAAATAGATACCTGGGATTAAAACAGCTGTTACGGGCTGCTTCCAGGGGATGTGTGTGAAAAAACTCTTGATTGATTGACAGTTGAGAGGCGGGACGAAAGAGCCAGAGCTCAACCTCCGTAAGCACAACTAGGTGAACACACACACACACACACACATACACACCACACACACACACACACACACACACACACACACACACACACACACACACACACACACACACACACACACACACACACACACACACACACACACACACACACACACACACACACACACACACACACACACACACACACAGCATACTCGAACATTCAGAGGCGACATGGAGAATATACCCTTGTGAACTACGTTATATACTTCATGTACCCTTGTATACACCGGTATACTCTAGAAGACGCCACAGGACTGGTGTAGCCCTGTAAACTCCATAGGATCTGTGTACCCCGGTGTACTTCATAGAGTAAGAGTACTCTGGTACACTCCATAGGACTGGTGCACCTTGGAATGTTCTTCATAGGACCAGTAAATACAACCAGAATATTAGCATAAGGAATATGCTCTGAGTTTTGCTTCAAAAATACATTAAGAATTCACCTTCAATAATATTAAGAATTCGATAAAATACAGCTTCAAGAATGTTAAGAAAACACTAAAAGGCAGCTTCAAAAATACACTATGAATACAGCTTCAAAAATACACTATGAATACAGCTTCAAAAATACTAAGAATACATAGAGAACGATGCAAGATCATTCTTAAAAAGTAAATAGGAATGATTAATACACTGTCTCTTAACCCTACCCAGTGATAATCTCTGTCTCTGTCTCTATCTGTCTGTCTGTCTGTCTGTCTGTCTGTCTCTCTGTCTGTCTCTCTCTCTCTCTCTCTCTCTCTCTCTCTCTCTCTCTCTCTCTCTCTCTCTCTCTCTCTCTCTCGTCTCTCTCTGTCTCTCTCTCTCTCTCTCTCTCTCACTCTCTCTCTCTCTCTCTCTCTCTCTCTCTCTCTCTCTCTCTCTCTCTCTCTCTCTCTCTCTCTCTCTCTCTCTCTCTCTCTCTCTCTCTCTCTCTCTCTCTCTCTCTCTCTCTCTCTCTCTCTCTCTCTCTCTCTGTCACTCTCTCTCTCTCTCTCTCTCTCTCTCTCTCTCTCTCTCTCTCTCTCTCTCTCTCCTCTCTCTCTCTCTCTCTCTCTCTCTCTCTCTCTCTCTCTCTCTCTCTCTCTCTCTCTCTCTCTCTCTCTCTCTCTCCCTCCCCCCTCCCACCACCCAAGGGCCCCCACCTTATCAGAAGTCTGCAGAAGGAGCCGAAGCCCTTGAGGTTGGCGATCTTGTTAGTGTAGGTCACAACCATCCTGCACCAGGTTGACGGAGGTCTTGACAGAGGTGTCCTTATCCGCTGACAGAGGCGCTGACCACGGTTGACAGGGGGCTGAAGAAAGCGCTGACAGAGTTGACCTTATCTGCTAACGTAGTTGGCCCCTTTATCTACTGTCTGTCTTTATCTAAAGTCTGTCTGTTGACGGAGATATAAGGGGTCTTATCTCTCCTGACGAAGTTGCTGACCTCTGGGTAGCTGACTAGTGGTGAAGGCGCTGACTATTGGGGCTTTACCAGCGGGAGGCGGCGGAGTCTGGCTTTCACATTACAATAAAGTTCAATATATCAAGCAATGTTCATATAGTTTTTCTTGCCTATTACCGTTTACACTAATTAAAAAGTCAAACGTAAAATTATATTAAAAAAAAATGAGTGTTTTTTTTTACTGCTTGAGATTTTATATATTTATTGCTTGTCTGAAAAGAAAAATTAAATACATTAAGTATTAAATAAAATAAAAAGTTCACTACGGGCTCACCTTAGTCCGTGCTACTCAACTCCGGTAGGTCTACTTAACATAAATTTTGAGTTGTCATTAATTATCGCAAACCTTTAGCTACGATACCTCCTGTAATATTGATTGTATTAAGGCTTACAATGGGGTGAATAAGTGACTAATATATATAAATATATAAATATATAAATATATAATTATATAATATATAAATATATATATATATAATTATATAATTATATAAATATATAAATATATATATATATATATATATATATATATATATATATATATATATATATATATATATATATATATATATAATATATATATATATGTCGTACCTAATAGCCAGAACGCACTTCTCAGCCTACTATGCAAGGCCCAATTTGCCTAATAAGCCAAGTTTTCATGAATTAATATATTTTCTCTAATTTTTTTCTGATGAAATGATAAAGCTACCCATTTCATTATGTATGAGGTCAATTTTTTTTTATTGGAGTTAAAATTGACGTAGATATATGACCGAACCTAACCAACCCTACCTAACCTAACCTAACCTATCTTTATAGGTTAGGTAAGGTTAGGTAGCCGAAAAAGTTAGGTTAGGTTAAGTTAGGTAGTCGAAAAACAATTAATTCATGAAAACTTGGCTTATTAGGCAAATTGGGCCTTGCATAGTAGGCTGAGAAGTGCGTTCTGGCTACTAGGTACGACATATATATATAATATATATATATATATATATATATATATATATATATATATATATATATATATATATTATATATATATATATATATATATATATATAAGATCGTTGCGGGTATTAAATTGACGAGGCTGCCTCATATGGCTCAATATACCTCTAGAGGTGTCGTCTATTTCTTATATATATATGATATTCCCATTGCTATGACCGTTCATTCATCTACATTCACGCCTCACTCATCGTCTTTAGGCTCAGTAGATTTAGGGTTTAAAATTGCCTCGATAAAGTTTTCTAATTCCTGGGATTAATTCTTGTTATCCTTCACTGTTCGCGTTCAGGGGGAGACTATGCTGGTGACAGTTTCATAGGAAACTCCGTGGGAAAATAATACGGTGACGTATTAAATAATACGTATACTAATAATTTAATACTACGTATTAAATAATACGTAGTTGAAATGGTTGTTGTGTCTGTGAGGTCCTCAAGCTAAATGTTACGGGGCTGTTGGTAGGGTGGTTCAGGTAGAGTTGCTTGTTGAAAAGGTTTCTCATGTTAAATATTATCATTATTAAGACGATATGATAGGACAAACAACATTATTAGTAGTAATTCAGACAGAAAACGGCATTATGGACACTCCAAAAACCAAACATACACACCATCAAGTTAGGCTTTCAACACCACCCCTTCTCCAGACAACACCTTTGCTTGTGAACCAATGAAGCATCACCCACCTGAACAGGAGTCGAACGAAGGACCCAAAACCACACTCAGTAACGCAATCGGAGTACTGGACCACCATGGTGAAACGCGCGCGGTGCTAGATACCTATATATGATAACGTATAGGTGGACGGGAGAGTTTCAAATTATCACCCAAGTCCGTAATCTGTGCCGGATACCTAAACAAAACCTCGCCTTCAGAGACTCACTGATTCCATTGATCTGAAATAGAATTAATTAAATTACTTAATGAATGATAAATATAAATTTATTTGTATACATGAAATTTACTTGGCAGAGCTTTTATTTGTCTTATGTTTTTATTCATTTTTGGCATTCATTTATCTTGTATTATTTTTCTATAAACTGAAAATTCGATTCCGTGTCCATAAAAAAAGCACAACGAATCATTAGTCTCGAAGAGCGCTTTGTCCTGGGTTCATATCCTGGCCGGGGAGGATTGACTGGGCGCCAATCCTTATTTGTAGCCTCTGTTTACTCAACAGTAAAATGGGTACCTGGTTGTTAAACGATTTGGTGGGTCGTATTCCAGGGAACATTTGGCTTAAGGACCTGCCCGAAAACGCTGTCCTTGCTAGTGTCCGTACAAGAATGTAAGAACTCTTGTGTGTATATATATATATATATATATATATATATATATAATATATATATATATATATATATATATATATATATATATATATATATATATATATATATATATATATCGTACCTAGTAGCCAGAACGCACTTCTCAGCCTACTATGCAAGGCCCGATTTGCCTAATAAGCCAAGTTTTCATGAATTAATATATTTACTATAATTTTTTTCTTATGAAATGATAAAGCAACCCTTTTCTCTATGTATGAGGTCAATTTTTTTTATTGGAGTTAAAATTAACGTAGATATATGACCGAACCTAACCAACCCTACCTAACCTAACCTAACCTATATTTATAGGTAAGGTTAGGTTAGGTAGCCAAAAAAAAGCTAGGTTAGGTTAGGTTAGGTAGGTTAGGTAGACGAAAAAAACATTAATTCATGAAAACTTGGCTTATTAGGCAAATCGGGCCTTGAATAGTAGGCTGAGAAGTGCGTTCTGGCTATTAGGTACGACATATATATATATATATATATATATTATATATATATATATATATATATATATATATATATATATATATATATATATATATATATATATATATATATATATATATTAGTATATTTTGGTAGCAGTCTTTCCTGTAGACATATATTATTAAATATGACCGAAAAAGTAAGATTAATAATTCTAACACGAATTTTCTCAATCTTTCGTACATTACGCTTCACTGTTGGAGGTAAATCAAAAATCACTTCTCCAAAATTCATTTTTATTTCTAGTCTGACGCGACACGGGCGCGTTTCGTAAACTTATTACATTTTCAAAGACTTCACAAATACACAACTGATTAGAACGTATCTCTGATTTTATATCTACATTTGAGTGAGGTGGGAAGGGTGATGTGGCATTAACACAAGACAGAACAGGAGGGGATATTAATAGGGTATTAAAGTATCAACACAAGACAGAACAGAAACAATGGGTATTGAATAGAAGTGTTTGTAGAAAGCCTATTGGTCCATATTTCTTGATGCTTCTATATTGGAGCGGAGTCTTGAGGTGGGTAGAATATAGTTGTGCAATAATTGGCTGTTGATTGCTGGTGTTGACTTCTTGATGTGTAGTGCCTCGCAAACGTCAAGCCGCCTGCTATCGCTGTATCTATCGATGATTTCTGTGTTGTTTACTAGGATTTCTCTGGCGATGGTTTGGTTATGGGAAGAGATTATATGTTCCTTAATGGAGCCCTGTTGCTTATGCATCGTTAAACGCCTAGAAAGAGATGTTGTTGTCTTGCCTATATACTGGGTTTTTTGGAGCTTACAGTCCCCAAGTGGGCATTTGAAGGCATAGACGACATTAGTCTCTTTTAAAGCGTTCTGTTTTGTGTCTGGAGAGTTTCTCATGAGTAGGCTGGCCGTTTTTCTGGTTTTATAGTAAATCGTCAGTTGTATCCTCTGATTTTTGTCTGTAGGGATAACGTTTCTATTAACAATATCTTTCAGGACCCTTTCCTCCGTTTTATGAGCTGTGGAAAAGAAGTTCCTGTAAAATAGTCTAATAGGGGGTATAGGTGTTGTGTTAGTTGTCTCTTCAGAGGTTGCATGGCTTTTCCATTGTTTCTGTTCTGTCTTGTGTTGATACTTTTAATACCCTATTAATATCCCCTCCTGTTCTGTCTTGTGTTAATGCCACATCACCCTTCCCACCTCACTCAAATGTAGATATAAAATCAGAGATACGTTCTAATCAGTTGTGTATTTGTGAAGTCTTTGAAAATGTAATAAGTTTTACGAAACGCGCCCGTGTCGCGTCAGACTAGAAATAAAAATGAATTTTGGAGAAGTGATTTTTGATTTACCTCCAACAGTGAAGCGTAATGTACGAAAGATTGAGAAAATTCGTGTTAGAATTATTAATCTTACTTTTTCGGTCATATTTAATAATATATATATATATATATATATATATATATATATATATATATATATATATGATCAGACCTTTATATCTGCCTGGGCAGATCACCTGACCACCAAAAATAAGTGAAGGAAAGGAATTATAAAAAGAAGGTAACTGCAGAAGGCTTATTGGCCCATACAAGGCAGCTCCTATTAATATCTCCAAGTGCCCATACGTGTTTAAAATGATTGCTATATTGTTTTGACGTGCTATATTGAGGCTTAAATAGGGATCCAACTTGTACATACCGGGGCTCACATTAAGGCTGTTGTTACAATGTTTGATCAGAGCAGACTCGATCACGTTTCGTTCAACAAAATCCTTACTTTTAACAATACATTTTGCCCCTGTGAAGTCGATAGAATGATTACATAAACTGGAATGTAAATACAATGCACTGGATTGCTGGGCTGTACGAATAGCATATGAATGCTGTTTTAAACGTGAGGAAAGAGTTTTACCTGTCTGGCCGAGGAAAACTGGCTGGCTGGCTGGCTGGCTGGCTGGCTGGCTGGCTGGCTAGCTGGCTGGCTGGCTGGCTGGCTGGCTGGCTGGCTGGCTGGCTGGCTGGCTGCTAGCTGGCTGGCTGGCTGGCTGGCTGGCTGGCTGGCTGGCTGGCTGGCTGGCTGGCTGGCTGGCTGGCTGGCTGGCTGGCTGGCTGGCTGGCTGGCTGGCTGGCTGGCTATCTGGCTATCTGGCTGGCTGGCTGGCTAGCTGGCTGGCTATCTGGCTGGCTGGCTATCTGGCTATCTGGCTGGCTGGCTGGCTAGCTGGCTGGCTATCTGGCTGGCTGGCTATCTGGCTGGCTGGCTATGCTGGCTGACTCGCTATCTGGCTGGCTGGCTATCTGGCTGGCTAGCACCGTGACAGTCTGCACGCCTCCTCTGTAGTGGGCGGGTATCTTCACTTCCTCCCTGGCACCCGGCCCACAGTGGCAGCCTCTACTGCACCACCACCGTCAGGGCTCACTACAGCAACCTGCATATAGTCTCTCGCCCCAGCTGGCGAGGCTCCTCTGGTTCACAGCCTCGCTCTGCCTGAGAAAATCTTTGAATCAGGAAGCGAATCAGGATGACCTCAGCCTCGCGCAGTATATCTCGTTGATCCCGACGTGCTAGAAGTTATTCAAGCTAGGATCCTCTGGCCCCTGATCCACTGAACATGCTCTATAGTGACTTCGCAAGGCCGTCACGCCAGACTTTCTCTGTGCCGGAGCATTGCCGGAGACTGGAGGAAGTCCAGCGGGTAAACGGCGGGAGTATTAACCCTCTTATGCTTTTACGAAGCCTCTCTTATTTATTTCCATTTTGGCGCCATAAACCAGTATTTACCCAGGACTTTCCCGGGTAAACTTACTCAGTTTACTTCCAGTTGTTTCGTGTTTTATTTTGTGTTGTTTACCACACTGTTAATGTCCCCTTTTGTTATATCCATTGTGTATACTTCAGTCCTGTCACCCCTTGTATATGGGTCACTACTGTCACCCCTTGTATATAGGTCACTACTGTCACCCCTTGTATATGGTCACTACTGTCACCCCTTGTATATGGGTCACTACTGTCACCCCTTGTATATGGTCATACTGTCACCCCTTGTATATGGGTACGTACTGTCACCCTTGTAAGGGTCACTACTGCACCCCTTGTATGGGTCACTACTGTCACCCCTTGTATATGGTCACTACTGTCACACCTTGTATATGGGTCACTACTGTCACCCCTTGTATATGGGTCACTACTGTCACCCCTTGTATATGGTCACTACTGTCACCCCTTGTACATGGGTCCACTACTGTCACCCTTGTCTATGGGTCACTACTGGACCCCTTGTATATGGGTCACTACTGTCACCCCTTGTATATGGGTCACTACTGTCACCCCTTGTATATGGGTCACTACTGTCACCCCTTGTACATGGGTCACTACTGTCACCCCTTGTATATGGTCCACTACTGTCACCCCTTGTTATGGGTCACTACTGTCACCCCTTGTATATGGGTCACTACTGTCAACCCTTGTATATGGGTCACTACTGTCACCCCTTGTATATGGGTCACTACTGTCACCCCTTGTATATGGGTCACTACTGTCACCCACTTGTATATGGGTCACTACTGTCACCCTTGTATATGGTCACTACTGTCACCCCTTGTATATGGGTCACTACTGTCACCCCTTGTATATGGGTCACTACTGTCACCCCTTGTATATGGTCACTACTGTCACCCCTTGTACATGGGTCACTACTGTCACCCCTTGTATATGGGTCACTACTGTCACCCCTTGTATATGGGTCACTACTGTCACCCCTTGTATATGGGTCACTACTGTCACCCCTTGTATATGGGTCACTACTGTCACCCCTTGTATATGGTCACTACTGTCACCCCTTGTATATGGGTCACTACTGTCACCCCTTGTATATGGTCACTACTGTCACCCCTTGTATATGGGTCACTACTGTCACCCCTTGTATATGGTCACTACTGTCACCCTTGTATATGGTCACTACTGTCACCTTTTGTATATCCTTGTATATGGGGTTCCCACTACTACTGTCACCCCTTGTATATGGTCACTACTGTCACCCCTTGTATATGGGTCACTACTGTCACCCCTTGTATATGGGTCACTACTGTCACCCCTTGTAT